GGGGATTGCAATCATTGAGATGAAACAAAGAGTATTATTGGGTGAATGTAAAACTGATGATCTTTTCTATAAACCTTCACTCAATTCACAATAAAAAGTTAAAAAATCTAAATAATTTTTTTTTTTTTTTTAAGTTGCTGGAGGAAATACAGGAACAGCTCTAATAAACTTCAAATTTATACTAATTTCAACTGAGCTCTCAACACTGCCCTCCTCCTCTCCCCATTCCTGCTTCCCAACTCCAGCCCACTATATCCAGTTCTGGTGTGGCGCTGTGGGTTAATGAGCCAGACTGCAAAGCCATTTGAACTGCAAATTCGGTAGTTCGAGCTCACCAGCTGCCTTGGAAATCCTATACTGGGTTGCTATGGGTCGGAACCGATTCGACGGCACTTAACAACAACAACATATCCATTCCTTACCCTGTTTCCCTCTGAAAAGGCAGCACTGCCCTGTCGTCCAATCTTCCTCTTGCTTCTTCCTCAAAGCAAAATATGACCCTACTCATTTCCAAACATCTACCACCACTGACCATTTCATATTATCAGTTCTTCACTTTTTACTTTTTTCTCCATTTTTCCATGTCTATGTTTCTGCTTGGAGTCCTGGTGTGGCACTATAGAATAAGCACTCAACTCAAGGTTAGTGGTTCAAACTCACCAGTCACTCCTCAGAAACCTTACACAGGGTTGCTGTGAGTCGGAACAAACTCAACAACATACATCTTCTTGGAGTCCTGGTGTGGTACTATAGGAGAAGCACTGGACTGCAAGGTCAGTTTGAACTGCAAGGTCAGTGGTTCAAACTCACCAGCTGCTCCTGAGAAAACCTATATAGAGTCGCTATTTGTCAGAACCAACTCGATGGCACTTAGTAACAGCTATTCACAAGATTAATGATTCAAATCCACCAGCCGGACTCCTCGACTGGATGATTCAAACCACTGACCTGTGGTTAGCAATCCAGTGCTCATCCTACAGTGCCACACCAGGACCCAATTACTGCCACTTTACTTACAAAGTTAGACAAAACTTCAAAAACTATGCTCCTCAGCAGCACTTAACAACAATAAATATTCTTCTACATTTTCCCTATGTTAAGGGGGGCAGATAAAATCCTCCATTTATCCTGCTGTGCCACGTGCCTATTTTCTCCACCTTTTACAACCAAACATCTCCATTCTCCTACTCACTGTAATCTTCCACAAGCAGGTTTCAGAGTCCACCATTCTACAAAATTTTTTAAATAAAACAACATCAACGAAAGAGATGTGATTCACTGAACATCTGTTTCAGTTGCTGCTTACTCAGTTCTTAATTCCCTGTTCTCTTTGCAGTTTATGACAGAGCTGACCAACTCTCTCCTTTATACTTTTGTACTGAGGTTGGATAGACAGTAGAAAACAATCAGGACTGGAAGACAGATCTGTGTTCTAGACCCAATTGTACTGCTAACTGGCTGTCACCTTCCTATTCAGTGACTATTAGAGCTCCGTTCAGAGACACCCTGATAGTCTAACTAGCTTTCTCAAATCCTATCCTTCTCATGGGCATTACAATTAATTATATAACTACTGACTGAATGGACTGTCTTTCCCACCCACATGCTAGACTGTAAACTGCATGAAGGCAAAGTCAGCAGGTTAAACCCACCAGCCTCTATGGCACAAAGAGAAAGCTGTCTGCTCCTTTAAAGATTTATAGTCTGAGAAGCCCAAAGAGGCAGTTTTACTCTGTCCTATTGGGTTAAGGAATCAGAATTGACTCTAGGGCACTGGATTTGGTTTTTGGTTTGCATCTTATCAGTGCAAAACTTAAATATGGTATGGCACTGTGAGCTAATGCACTGGACTAACAAATCAGTTTGAACCACAAGGTCGGTGGTTCAAACTCACCAGTTGCGCCTTGGAAACCCAATATAAGGTCACTATAGGTAGGAACTGACTCAGCAGCACACAACAACAAAGCACAAAAATAAATAAATTGAATTAATGTTGAAATAAACAGATAATAACACTAATTCTCAAGAGACTGCTCACATTCTTTTTATTAGCCTAAATAATAAAATTATTGTTGTTGTTAAGTATCATCAAGTTGGTTATGACTCACAGTGTGAGGTTTCCAAGGAGCAGCTGGTGGATTTGAACCGCCAACCTGTGGACAGCAGTCCAGTGTTTATGCTACAGCGCCACACCGTTCCCAATTACTACCACTTTACTTACAAATTCAGACAAAATTTTAAACAGAAGTTCCCCTATTACCTAAACATGTAGTATGACAAACTACCAGTGTTACGCACAAAACGAGTTACAGAAAGCATGGTGGCGCTATAGGATAAGCATTGGACTGAGAACTGCAAGGTCAGCAGTTTGAGGCAATCAGACGCTCCGCGAGAAAAAAAAATGTGGCTTTCAGCTCCCATAAAGAATTACAGGAATCCTTGGGTGGCGCTGTAGGATAAGTAATGAATTACTGTCCTGGTGTGGCGCCACGGGTTAAAGCACCGGACTGCAAGGCTGGTTGGAACTGCAAGGTCGGTGGTTCAAGCTCACCAGCCGCTACTAGGAAACCCTACCTAAGGTCGCTATGAGTCGGAACCGACTCAACGGCACTTAATAACAACCATCTACAAGATCGGCGATTCAAACCCACCAGCCGATCCTAGCAGTCCAGTGCTTCTCCTACAGCGCCACAACAGGACCCTATCACTACCACTTCACTTACAAATTCAGACAAAACTTTAAACAGAAGTTCCTCTATTACCTAAACATGTAGTATGACAAACTACCAGTGTTATACACAAAATTAAACGAGGAAGAGAAGCACAGTGGCGCTGCAGGATAAGCACTGGACTAAGAACCACAAGGTCATCGGTTTGGGCCAGCTAGCCGCTCCGCGAGAGAAAAAACGAGGCTTTCGGCTAGCGTAAAAAATTCACAAGAAAATCCAGGGGTGGCGCTGTTGAATAAGTACTAGATTACTATCCACAAGGAATCCTGGTGTGGTGCTGTGGGTTAATGCGCCAGACGGCAAAGCCGTTTCAACTGCAAGGTTGGAGGTTCAAGCTCACCAGTTGCTCCTAGGAAATCCTATACAAGGTCACTATGGGTCGGAACCTACTTGATGGCACTTAACAACAACAATAACTATCTACAATGTCGGTGGTTCAAACCCACCAGCCAATCCTCCGAAACCCTATGCAAGTTAGCTACAGGTAGGAAACGACTCCACACCACTTAACAAGTTCCCCTTAAAATGCCCCGATGGTGTTGAAGGATAAGCACTGGAACAAACTAACCGCAAGTCGACAATTGAAACCCACCAGCCGCTCCGCAGAAAAAGATGAGGTTTTCTGCTTTCGTATAATTCACAGCCTCAGAAAGCCTGCGCTGAGGAGGAGACGATTTGATGGCACTGGGTTTGGTTTTTTGAGTTTTAGAGGAAACTTATTTTCTAAGATAATTAATTTCTCTTGCCCATCCCCAAGAGAAAGGGTTAGATCAATTGTATCTCAGGACTGAAATTCATCATCCAAACCTTGCACAGGCTAAAAGTGCAAGTGCACGTTTATAAGTGATGATAATTTGATACTAAAACATTGTTTATATATCTGTTTAGATAATACCTATTAATACGTTAGGTTAAAAGCTTTTGTTTAACAATGGCAAAAACCATATTCTGCAAGAAAAGCAAAGTGTTATCAGTCAAGTTATTTTGCAGTGTGATTTTAAATATTATTTCTTACACGTCAGGAAAAAATAATTATTAAGTGATCAGACAGACACTAGCACTGTGCCTGATCAGATAACTTTCAAATGTAAAAATTTCAGATCTCAGCTAAGTAAGTGAAAGATTTGTCAAATTTTATAATACGTCACTTTGGTCAAACAAATGTAACAGATTACATGTGAATTTTCCCTTCAACTACCAAGTGTGTCCTTCTCAACTACTGCCATCAAGGCCATTCCAACTCAAAGTGGACTCACTGGACAGAGGAGAACTGCCCCATATGTTTCCCAAGACTGTAAACCTTTAAGGAGGTCGACTGCCACATCTTTCTTTCTCGGACAGAAAGATGGTGGGTGGGTGCGCTTAACCACTGCGCCGCCACGAGGGTTCCTTCCTCCCCTGTACATTAAGGTCTTTACCATCAGACATGTGATCTCTTTAATTTATGACACGAAAAATTAAAAGCAAGCTCTGGAAGCTAAATACGTATGTTCACTTGCAAACAACCTGCAAGTACTTAAAATCCGGTATCAGACAATTCCCTAGGTTAGGTGTGTTAACAGGCTTTAAATATCGTTTTAATTCCCAGGAAAGCAGCAGCATTTCATAACAGAAACACTAACAGGTATAGTCACTTGGAACCATTCTCCAAGGTGTCCTCACCGTTAAAACAACACCGCTGATTGTGAGGGGGCAATTTTGCCCCTCTGCCACCTTCTCACTTCCGCACACTCAGGGCTCCAATCCCTGCCCGAGGAGTCCCTTGAGATCGGCCAGCGCTACTCTGGGACTTGGGCTAGGAAATCCCTGGCCAGAGAATGCGGAGTTCAGCCCCCTCCCCCTTCCTTTCCTGAAAATTAATGAATTGGCCATACGATTGTTTATTTAATGAGGTGTGTAGTGGCCTCTGCTGGTACTAGTGTGAGCACAAGAATGTCCCACTCTTACAAGTGGGATGAGCCTGGGGGAGGGGAGGGGAGGCTATGAGCCGAGGGGTGAACCTGCCTCCGGGTACAAAGCGCAGAACTCGACCCCGGAGCCCCGGACGCGCCCCCAGTGGCCGTCCCTCCCCCCAGCGGCGCCCCCTCCTGCCCATTTCACTCTCCACCATCTAAGACCCCCTTTCTCTCCAGCAACCCGAGCCGAAGCAGCGAAGTTCCTGCACGTTTCCTCCTGGATCCTAAACAAAAACACCGCAGCCACTGCTAGTGCCGCACCCCTGCCCCCACCCCGCGCCCCCCAGCCGGCGCCCCTCCTCGGGCCGCCACTTACCTGAGGACTGCGGCGGGGAGCCGCTCCTGGCGGCCGCGGTGCCCGGCTCCCAGCGCCCCAGCAGCAGCAGGCAGCAGAGCCAGAAGGAGGAGGTGCTGAGGAATCGCTGGGCTCCCCGCTCCGCCGCCATCTCTTCCCCCGCGAGTGAGCGGCGGCGGTGGCGGCAGCGGCAGCGACAGCGCCACGGAGCCCTCGCCTCCTCTCCCGCGCGCCTCAGCCGGTCCCTCGCCGTAAGCTCAGCTCCCGCGGTTGCCTCCACGGCTGCTTCTCCAGCCCGGCCCGGCCTGCACGGACCCTCTTGCGGGAGGGGAGACTTGGGGGCGCCTCCCTCCTGCAGGGGGGCGGGAAGGGGAGGAGAGCAGAAAAGGGGGAGTCAGTACATTCCGGGGCGGGGGGTTGGGGGGGTCGGTCTCCAGGTTCCAGGCGCCGCCACCCGCCACCGACTCTGGCTCCACACACCAGCGCGAAGGGGGCGGAGACCGCGAGCAACGGGGGAGGAGGACAGGGCCCGTGCGCGCACACCCGCTCACGCGCAGGCGCGCGCCTCCCTCGCCCGCACTCCCTCAACTCCGCGCGCAGCCCGCCCCCGCTCCAATCCCGGCTGCCGCCTCGCGGGCCGCAGCTGCTGGCCCGCTTGCCTGCCCGCCTCCCTGGAGCCGTGGACGAGAATGGGGCGCGCGCGCTGGGCGCAGCTTCTGGCGTCAGGGAAACCCCGGAGAAGCGAGTCCTCCTCCCGCCCTCTCGCCGCCGCAGCACTTCGTCTTCGCGCGTCCCCGCCCCCGGCTCCTTGCCCTAGCAAGAGAAAGACCCTCTTCTCACCTTCCCCGCTACCTCGGGTTCCTGGGACCTGAGGACGAGAGGCGCTCCGAGCCTGGCTGGCAGGGGAGGCCAGAGCGAGTGCGCACCTCTTCCAACCTGGGCCCAGGGCCTTTATATAGGGCCGCAGAGGAAGCTGAATGGCCTCAGGGAGGAAACCTGGGTGCACAGAGGGTCGAAGCAGGGATTTATGAGCTCGCCAAAAACAATAGCGATCCCGCCTGGCTCGGGCTGGGACCTGGCGCGGCTCCTGTGGGAGGGGGCCGGCCGCACCGCCGCTGACCTCTGGCTTCCTGGCCCGGCCATCCTCGCTGAGCGCTTCCCTGGGGCAGTGCCCGCACCGCGGCCCCACTCGTGCTGGTGGGCCCGGGTCCAGGGAACGAGGGAAAGACAAAGGTGCCCACCATCCACTCCTCCTGCTCGTCCAGGGCCCAGTTCGAGCCCCGTGACTCCTCGGGGAGTAACGAAACCCTTTACCTATCCCTTTGCGACACTTCACCTTTCCATACCTGGGTAAACCAGGAGCAAGAGGTATATGATTTAAACCACTTTTCAATCATGAAGCAGCACCCCAGTCTGCCAAAGATAAGCAAAACTGCTGAAGAAAATGCTGATAATTCATAAACTGCGCCCACGGAAAATATTTTAAGAAAAAAATTGCAAGGTTGTTACACACTTGATTGTTTGGGTTAATAATGTAAGTTGAATTCTAATTCACTGGTCTGTATAGTCAATAACCAAAAAGTGTTGCTTCTCACCAAAAATGGCAGTTTCTCTAACTCCCATATCCCTCTGTGGCTTTTCGTTACTTTCTGCAGATACTTTCTTTTATTCCGAAGTGCCAAAACCAACTATTATAAACCTTCGGTTAACATTGGGAGGGAAGAGCTCAGAATCCCCATAAAACCTCTCAAATTATCAAAAGGGTGGAATTGGAAGCCCTCATGTGAGTTCTGAGAAACAACGGACTCTTACAAGAGTAAACATAGGTTTATTGTTTTCCACGAGGGAAATAATTTAATATCTTTTTGTTTTTGTTATAGTTGTTAACCAGCAAAAATATTTCCTAAATACCCCTGATTGACCTGTTAAATTAGAAATAGATTACCTTCCAATTACTTTGCAAGTATTTGCTTAATTAACCTTTAATAATCCATCATTATTCAGTTTTCGGAGATAATTAATGTGAAAAGCTCTTTGGAAACTATAAATTGCCCTGCAAATGTTAATTTTCTGATATTTAAGTATGGAAATTTTTCATTATATTGAAATTATAAAATGCATAATGTGACTTCTAAAATGAAGCTTCCATTTATCTTGAGTTTTGAAAAATATGTAAGATGTAGCTAATAAAGTATCAGATTGATTTTCATGTATGGCTGTTGTGAACTATCATTAATTTATCAGCCTACTGTGTATCAAAAATTTTAAAGCAGCTTCTGAAAACAGGGTGATTAAGTCACAAATGTAATCAAATAGACTCTAATAAACCACTAGTAGATGGAGTTCTACATAGAAAGTTACAGGTTCTAAATCAGTTCATGAGTAACATAGTAAAATATTCTAGGTATACACCTGATTTCATATCCTGTGCTTTAGTCCAATGTGGCTGACGTTGTTGTTAGGTGACGTGGAGTCAGTTGCCAATCATAGCGACCCTGCACAGGGTTTCTGAGGCTGTGAACCTTTTCGGGAGCAGAAACCTCCTCTTTCTCCTGCAGAACAGCTGGTAGTTTCAAACTGCTGACTCTGAGGTTAACAGCCCGATTCATAACCACTATGCTACGAGAGCTCCTTACTTACATTGTAAACACTCCTATTTTTAAAAACCATCATTTGGAGTTTTATTCTTCCTTTTGTTTAATAAGGCATCTCTGAGAAAAGTTTATTTTCCCCTAGCATTTCATTCATTATTCCCATTCTCTCTCAAGATTTTCCACTAATACCTCAGTCTATACTGCTAATCAAAATCTTTTCAAGTAGTCTAAGCTATTAATGTCGAAAGAGCTATCATTAAACCATTTGCAAAATTAACACTTTTTTTCATCTAAGTAAAGTTAGAACATGAGGCCCATATTCAAGGAATAAAGCACAAAGAAACATTTAGAGCAAAGAAAACAGAGTGGCCATTGTATGTCTGCATAAGTTATCAAAGTGTAGGCCAAAAAGAACTAGACCAAATATTCTTGTGAAATTTATTCTGAGTGGACTTTGATATAAGAATTAAGTGAAAAGTTAATCAAGCCTATGAATATAAAACTTGGTAGAAATCTTATTCTCTTCAGTGAGACAATTATTTGTTTGAGATTAAAGAAGCGATCTGGTTGAGTGTTTCATTGCTGGCAGTAATGAGATTCTACAGCTGATTCCCAGTGTCCAAGGTAGAAAAGGAAGTATCCCAGCATAGCACACTTCTCAGTCACAGCAAATGTCACTTAGGAGTTGCCCATGTCTTCAAGGTGATTTTCTTCTACATTGAAGTTTATATTTTTACTTTGCCCTTTAGTTTCAACTAGGTCAGAATTTTTATTTTCTCCTTTAAAAGCCACCTGTTTTAGGGAGCCCTCTCTGATTAAGTCCTAATTAAGAAGAAACTGTGCTCCACAGGGATAAATCCTACACACTATTAATTTTGCTTATTACATGTTGCTTAGTTGTTAATCACATTATCTTTAGTTCAACAGCAATCCATTAATTCAACAAATATGAGGACATATTGTCAGGTATTGTGCTGCGTGCAGGGGTTACAAAATTATTGGATCCTTCATTCATTTAATATTATAAAGCACAGGCCCTGTTTTAGGGGAACACAATGGTGAGCCAGATAGAGTAGGTTCCCAGTCTAGCAGAGAAAGATAAACAATTACAACAAAGAAGTGTGAAGAGTGTTATGATAAGGGAAGATAAGGAGTGTGGGAAAACAGCAAGAACATCTAACCTGACTAAACTGTGTGTTTGTGGGGGTGGAAATGGAGTGTAAAAGCAGTAGTTCTGTTCCTTAACTGAGACTTGGAAATGGGTAAGAGTTAGCCACACCTGTAGTGGGAATTGGCAACTGATTTGCCTCTTAGAAGGATCCCTCTGGTTGCTTCCTTGAGTTAGGTTAGGTTGCTGTTGTTAATTGCTGATTCCAACATGGCAACCCCATGTGTGTAGAGTAGAATTGCTCATAGGAATTTTTTAAGACTGTGATCATTTGAAAGCAGCCCTGTCTTTTGTGGCAAGTAGTCAAGCGCTTAAACATTTGTGCCACCCAGGGACTCTTATAAATTAGGGCGGAAGAAAACAAAACTTTCTAAAGCTAATTCTGATTTTGTTAAAGTAGTCTGGGAAGGAGATAATGGTGTCCTGGAGTCAAGCAGAGTAAGAGAAGTGAACAGATACGAGATAGAAGAGATAAATGGAGACAACAGGGCTGTGTGGGAGAGAGAGGAGACCAGAGTTGACTCAGGTTTCAGCTTGGGCAGCTTGATGACATTCACTGAGACCGGAACAAGGAGGAGAAACATATGGGAAGCAATGTGAGGTGTTTAACTTGGAGCAGGTTGAGTTTTAAAGTGCCTATAGGACACCTAGGAGCCTGGTGGCATCGTGGTTCAAATACTTGGCTACCAACTGAAAGGTCTAGTACTCTGTGGGAGAAAGAGGTAGCAGTCAGCTTTGTAGCCTTAGAAACACTATGGGGCATGGGGCAGTTCTATTCTATCCTATAGGGTCGGTTTGAATTAGAGTCAATTCAACAGCAGTGGCATTTTTGCTTATAGAACATCTGCACAGAAATAATCAGTAAACTGTGATTAGGTCTAGAGTTTAGCAGGGAGATTTGGGTTGGAGAGATGAGTTATCGGCATATACCATACAAATATCATATAGTCTGAATATAAAGAACCTCGGAACATAGGAGAAACCACCATTTCCCCAATGAAAATATCCACTGTCCAATAAAGCTTTGTGGCCTACTTAAATATATAAACTTTTAGAAATATAAATGAAATAAACATTAATATACTTACAATTAGGAGTCCTGGTGTGGTGCTGCAGGATAATGCACTCGAACATAACATCATTTTGAACCAAAAGGTCGGCAGTTCAAATCCACCAGCCACTCCTTGGACACCCTACACAGGGTCGTTATGGGTCGGAACTGATTCTACAACACTTAAGAACAACAACTTACAATACTTAACATATTAATTTGATTATACTTCAAACCTAAACCAAACCCATTGCCATAAAGTGGATTCCAATTCATAGCATCCCTAGAGTATAGAGTAGAACTCAGGGCTTCAATCTGGTTCATTCCAGTTTAGAAAGAACAAATTTGAAGCCATGATAGAACCGTTACCTTTCTCCCTTTGAGAAGCTGGTAGATTCCAACCACTGCTTAAAACAAAACAAAACGCCGACTGCCTCCAGTCAATTCTGCTTCACAGAGACTGTACAAGGCAGAGTAGAATCACTCCATAGAGTGAC